CACTTCTCCTATCACCCACTACCCCTTTTCCTCTTCAAACGCTCGTTGACGGGCTGCTCCAACGACACATGAGGAGGCTACGGTGAGGAGCTGCACACGAAGCGTGGAGGACGAGGTGGAGGTGCGGCGGCACCGTCTCTCAAGGGTGAGATGGGTCTGCGTGTGGTCGTTGTTCTGCGAGCCGAGCTACCGCGACGACAACGGAAACAACACTCTTAGCATCTGCGTCGGTGTCCCAATTAAGGGCCCCTCACCATTGATTACGGCTCCCGGCCTGGTGGGTCGGGATGAGGACCTCTAAGTTGGTTCCACCCTGAGCGACGTTGGGTAGCTCATGGCGAGATACATGAAGACTCTAGAAGCCTTGATGTTGAAGACAAGGATTTCATATCTGTGAAGGACTATCTTCCACTAACATTGCAGGTCTTCAACCTACTGAGGGGGCCACCCTCCGACACAACCCTAACTGCCGGCTCTCATCCCGTAGCCGTTTGATGCTACAGTGCATCCCTTCACCGTCCGTCCTCCTCTCAACGTCCCCAGCGTCGCAACCATCCCTCTAAGCCCCACCCACTCCCCTGATTTGCGGAAACTCCGGCGACTCCCGCACCCACACACCTGTTAACCCGCTTCCTCGCCTCCACTTCGCATGCCACAGCTCCCTACCTTTTGCGGCATCATGACCGTCTCAGTTAAGAGCATCTCCAGCCGCGCCCCCAATAGGCCCCCCCAAGCCACTTTTTTCGGCGCCGGCGCCAAAAAAACGCCCCAGTCGCGGCCCCAGGACGCCGAAAAGTGCCGGTTCGGCCCTTTTTTCCGCCCGGCGGTCACAGGCCGAACTCGGCGCACTGGGGGCGATCGGGGGCTCCGGCGCAAGGGAAAAGCGCGGCTGGCCCACACTGAGGGAGTCCTGGATTAGGGGGTCTCCGGATAGCCGGACTATCTCCATTGGCCGGACTGTTAGACTATGAAGATACAAGATTGAAGACTTCGTCTCGTGTCCGGATGGGACTCTACTTGGCGTGGAAGGCAAGCTAGGCAATACGAATATGGATATCTCCTCCTTTGTAACCGACCTTGTGTAACCCTAACCCTCTCCGGTGTCTATATAAACCGAAGGGTTTTTAGTTCATAGGACAACAACCATAACATACAATCATACCATGGGCTAGCTTTTAGGGTTTAGCATCTTTGATCTCGTGGTAGATCTATTCTTGTACTACCCATATCATCAATATCAATCAAGCAGGACGTAGGGTTTTACCTCCATCAAGAGGGCCCGAACCTGGGTCAAACATCGTGTCCCCTGCCTCCTGTTACCATCCGGCCTAGACGCACAGTTCGGGACCCCCTACCCGAGATCCACCAGTTTTGACACCGACATTGGTGCTTTCATTGAGAGTTCATCTGTGTCGTCGTTGTTAGGCTTGATGGCTCCTACTATCATTGATAGCGATGCGGTCCCGGGTGAGACTTTTCTTCCCGGACAGATCTTCGTATTCGGCGGCTTTGCACTGCGGGCTAATTCGCTTGGCCATCTAGAGCAGATTGAAAGCTACGCCCCTGGCTGTCAGGTCAGATTTGGAAGTTTGAACTACACGGCCGACATCCGCGGAGACTTGATCTTCGACGGATTCGAGCCACAGCCGGGCACGCTGCACTGTCGCGATGGGTATGACCTAGCTCTGCCGCCGAACAGTACCCCAGAGGCCGCGCCCGCATCAGCTCCGACCTTTAGCTCGGAGCCAACTGCGCCAAACGAGGACGGGTGGTTAGACACCGCCTCAGGGGCTGCAGTCTCAACAGCGGTCGAGCCAAACACCAGCCTAACCCTCTGCGCAGCCCGTGACTCCAAGGTGTCGGACTCTTTTTCTGACTCCGAACCGCCCGTGCCCCTGCCAATCGAATCCGATTGGGCGTCGATCATGGAATTCACCGCCGCGGATATCTTTCAGCACTCGCCCTTCGGCGACATTCTGAATTCACTAAGGTCTCTCTCTTTGTCAGGAGAGCCCTAGCCGGATTATGGCCAACAGGATTGGGATGCGGACGACGAAGAAATTCGACGCCCACCCACCACCCACTTAATAGCCACTGTCGATGACTCAACCGACATGCTCAACTTCGACTCCGAAGACATCGACAGTATGGACGATGATTCGGGAGGCGAAGAGGAACCACCGCCCACAGGGCGCTGGACGTCCACTTCATCATATGACGTATACATGGTGGACACACCAAAAGAAGACGACGAGGAGGAACGGAAGGATGCACCGAAGGCTTGTTCCCTCGAGAAGCAGTCAAAGTGGCGGCGCAAGCGCCGCCCTAAATCCCGCCTCGGCAAAAATAACGATCATACAGACCCAGCGTCGGAGCAGGGCGAACCACTGCCGGACCGCGGAAATACGGAGAATCAAACCGAACAAACCAATTCTGTCAAAGATAATAGTCCAGACGACATAACGCCGGACAGGCACCCGGAGCAGCAGATTGCCCGTCAAAGGCTTGTGGCCACCGCGAGGAGTCTGAAAAAGTAGAAGCAAAGACTCAAGGCTGCGCAGGACACACTCCAAATCAGATGGAGTAAAGTACTCAACACAGCAGCAAAGTACGGCGACAATCGCCCCACCAAGAGCTACCCAATGCGTAAATTGCTACCTGAATTCGATGAGGAGGCCTCAGACCCCCCACAACCAAAAATCAAAACAGCCACCTGGCCGGATAGACGACCTCACGGCCAACATAGAGCGGCAAACAATGACACTCACAAGACAATACGCGATCCACGCGAGGGCTCGCACCACTACAAGAAACCTGTTAATCCATGACAGATTTCTGGTGACGTTATGAAAATCCATCACAATCGATGACAGTTTTCTCTCGTCCGTCACAGAAATCGTCACCAATTAGCAAAATGTGAATGTGCCTAGAAACGAAACGAAGCCCATATGGTATTCTTTTTTTCCTGGAGATCGTGTGTTTTAAATTTTAATGATAAAAATGCAATCAAGACATGATCCCAAGATCTCTTGGGTTAAGAGACTAGCGTGTGTGACGACTATACTAGTTAAAAAATGTGTGCCATGGATCGGACCGTGCACCTCTCACCTACTTGAATAGTTCAATACCAGTTGGTCAAGAAAATCGTGGTATAAATAAAGCTTTGCACTCTTACACAACAACTAGTTTGCACTCCTGCACAACAACTATACATATATAATATGTGACTCCAAAATTTAATTCATTTTTACTCAAAGAAAAAATGAATATAATTTTGTAATTTCATCTATATGGGAACCAACATATAGTCTAACTTATTCACTATAAAACCGTCATGATCGTGCGATGGACTGCTGCTGCTTGTTTTCAAAAGGAAGCGAACCTTATCTATCTCTAAAAAAAAAGAAAGCGAGCAACCCTACTGACGTGGCGATCCAGTGTGAGCGAAAACTCGCGCTATGATTGGTTGAACAAACCCTCCCTCGGATCACAGATCTAAACCGTCTGCTCCTCAGAGATCCAACAGGTAGCAAACCTCCCCTCTTTCCCGTCACTTCTTCAGCCCACCCACCCGCAATCTTCGCACCTGACCAGCATCCCCATGCCGTCCTTCGAGCAGCGACCGCACCATCCCCACCTCCTTCCTGCCGCCAGCCCGCCATACCCACCTCCTCCCCTCCTGGATCTTCCCTGTCGTGCACAAATCTGTTGGGGAACGTAGTAATTTCAAAATTTTCCTACGCACACGCAAGATCATGGTGATGCATAGCAATGAGAGGGGAGAGTGTGATCTACGTACCCTTGTAGACCGACAGCGGAAGCGTTAGCACAACGCGGTTGATGTAGTCGTACGTCTTCACGGTCCGACCGATCAAGCACCGAAACTACGGCACCTCCGAGTTTTAGCACACGTTCAGCTCGATGACGATCCCCGGACTCTGATCCAGCAAAGTGTCGGGGTAGAGTTCCGTCAGCACGACGGTATGGTGA